TATGCAATATCATGTATTTTGTTTCCTCATCTTGATGTTGTAATTCTTTTAATTGTTCATATGTAAATGGCATGATTCGATCGTCAATAACATTCGCAGGTTGTTGTTGATCTTCCGAACCACAGGAACGGTCGATTGGGAAATCGACATTCCTTTTCGGCTGTTCTTCATCACAGGACTGATCGATCATATGATCGTCATTCCTCTTATCATGCTGTTGTTGTTTCGCTTGTGCCCGAGTAACTACAGACGCTGTAATAGCTGTTATCATCGAATTTTCAGTTTGTGTTGATTGAGATTTAATTGGAATATAATCATCTTCATCGTAAGATGCGTTATCTAATGGTGAACGTGATAAATAATCTGCTACTGTATTGTGTTTTCCTTTGATATAACGAACCATAAATTTATACTGTTGTAATTTCAAACGCCATCGTTCACATTTCGAATTTAATTGTTGTTTTGTATTAAATGGTACTAAAGGTTTATGATCTGTTTCAATTATAAATTCACGTCCATCTAAATATTTATGCCATTTCTCAATTGCATATATAATTGCATAACATTCTTGTTCGGTTGCAGGCCAATTCATTTGTGTTGTTGTAAATTTCTTCGATACATATGCAACTGGTAAATCACCATTTTGATGAGTTTGCATAAGTACAGCTCCTATTCCAATCCTTGATGCATCCGTTTGAATTTTAAATGGTAAATGTGCATCTGGGATACGCAAAACTAAATCATTAGTCAATATTCGTTTTAATTTATTAAATACATTAAGTTCTTCATCAGATAAAGTAATATGTGTAGATTGTGATTTTTGTGATCGTTGTTCTTTAGTAGTTGGAGCATACTTATATAATGGTTCTGCGATAATGGAAAATTTTGGTATGAATTTGCGATAATATTCGGCTGCTTTGACGAATCGAAACGCTTCTTTGGCAGTTGTTGGTTGCGGAGTTTCTGATAATGCTCGAATATTATCTGTATTTGGTCTAATATTGCTATGTTCAATATGATGACCAAGATAATCGATTGACGTTCTTGCTATCTGGCATTTTTCAACATTGAGACGAAAGTTTGCATCATTTAATCTATTCAGAATATCATCGAGATGAATTAAATGTTGTTCGAAACTTGATGAATATATAATGACATCATCAAGATAAGCTAATGAATATTGCCATCTTGTAGGCCCAAGTATTTGGCTAACAATTCGTTGAAATGCTGGTGGACCATTAGTAACACCTTGAGGTAATACTGTAAATTGATAATGTTGGTCTCTTGTTGAAAATGCTGTTTTTGGACGATCTTTTGGATCCAATCCAACTTGAAAATAACCCGATTTAAAATCAATTGTAGTATAATATTCAGCTTGTGATAAATGATCGAAAATATCATCGATTCGAGGTATTGGAAATGCATCTTTCGTGGTGATGTTGTTTAGTTTTCTGAAATCGACACAAAATCGAACCGATCCATCTTTCTTTCGCACCAACACTATTGGTGACGACCATGGAGATTTGGATTCTTCAATAATTCCTTGTTTTAATAATTTATCGATTTCTTCACGTTGTATTTGTTCATCTTTGTATGAAACACGATATGGTGGAGTATAAATTGGTGGATGTGCTCCTGTTTCAATAGCATGATGAACTGTTGCTTTAATGATGGATGGTTTACGAAGATCAAATAATTTTCCATGCTTCCATAAAATACGTTGTAATTGCTGTCTTTGATTTAAATTGTCAATATGTGATGTTAATTTTTCAATTTCGTCTCTTATATCTTGTGGATAACATTGTTGACGTAGATGTTGTTGTAAATCATTTCGAGTCAGGAATTGTTCCTGACAAACATAACATTGATATTGTTCATTATCATCCTGGTTGCTCTTACAGGTAAAGTCCGTAAATCGGACCTTCCTTTTCGGTTGAGATAATGGAGCACAGGAACGACTCTGTAAAATGTCATTCCTATTACGGATAGATGTTTTTGAATGTATTGGTCGACCAGTTCCTATGTTTGCTAACACTGGTAAAATAGAATAATTATTCAATTCAGATTGACATGAAATATATCCGAGTTTGGTGTTTTTCGATAATGTCCGTTGTCGATTATGCACATTAATAATCATGAGTTTGCTTTTGCTGTTGTCTATTCGAATTAATGCATTTGTTAACAATATTTGTTTCGAATATAAATTCGAAGCTGGTTCAAATAAAGCTTCAGTTACACCGTTCATTCGTGATTTAACTTTCACATCAATGCATCTTTCTGAATATGGTGGTAAAGTAATTTCATCGATTAATAATATCGGCAATTGAACATCAGGCGGTTTAATAAATGGTGTTGTTGCTATTATTCGATGATATTTATCTGTAAGAAAAATACGTTGTTGTGGTGAATGAATAATTACGTTATTTTCAGTAATCCAATCATTTCCCAATAATAAATCAGTTACAAGATTTGTTGCGACGTCAGCTAAGATTAACGTTTTGTATCCCTGTATTTTGACTTCAAGTTCAATTTCTCCAATGATGTTGACTGATGTACAATTTGCTGATTTATGTAATTTCTTTCTATAAATAAATTCCTTGTGATGAATTTCCTTTAATAATTGTTGATTAATAATGGTAACTGCAGATCCAGTGTCAATAATAGCATGCTGTTGTTTGTTGTTAACATGCACTTTGATGTAAATGGGATTTGATGATTGTGGTGACATAATATT